GCTTATTAATCACTGGTTAATAAGGAAACAGGACAGAAAATACTTATAAATATATGAGAAACTGACAGAGACCATATCTATCCCTGGGTCTTTGTATAAAGGTTGAAATCCTCTGCACTACACTAATATAGCCTGGCTCAGTTTCTTACTTGCCCATTCACCTCTAATGAATATAAATTCCTTCTGAGCAACTCTGCCACACCCAATACAGGCAGCCTGCAGAACTGTGAGTTGGTAAACTGTTTTGCAGGCTGGTGCACTATTCTTCTCCCTTTTCTTATCTGCAACCCTGCACACACTAATATTCCAACGTGAAGGATTTCAGTGCAAGTATTCATTCTCAAATTCTTCCAGTGCTTTGCTTCAGGCACTTTTGCACAGGAAAATAGGGCTAGAGAGCCTACTGATTAGGGTCCCTTCATTCTCCAGGAAAGCTTCTAGCCTAGACCCCATAAAATTAGACACACACATACTTTGTCTGCTTGTCCTGATTTTTCACATCTATCTCCAATTCTCACCAAGAGTTTGCATATAGATAGCAAACAAGTCTGGCTCCATAAACAAAACCTGTGCCCTAATTATTCATTGTTAAAAACAGTGAACAAAACATTCACACCTGAAGAGCCAACACTGGAAGAAGAAGAAGAAGAAGAAGAAGAAGAAGAAGAAGAAGAAGAAGAAGAAGAACAGGAGGAGGAGGAGGAGTTTGGATTTGATATCCTGCTTTATCACTACCCTAAGGAGTCTCAAAGTGGCTAACATTCTCCTTTCCCTTCCTCCCCCAAAACAAACACTCTGTGAGGTGAGTGGGGCTGAGAGACTTCAGAGAAGTGTGACTAGCCCAAGGTCACCCAGCAGCTGCATGTGGAGGAGTGGGGAAGCGAACCCGGTTCACCAGATTACGAGACTACCGCTCTTTACCACTACACCATGCTGGCTCTCACCACACTACCACTCTCACCACACTGAAAATGTCTTATGAACTCCAAAACTGCAGCAACTGATTTTTGTATTTGGAAACATGTGATGAACATGCCTGTCACCTGGTTGAGTATCTTATGTTTAAATAGTTAAAGCAACTAGAGGTGGGAGGGGATAATGCTGAACCGAGCCCCAAAATCATTCTAAAAGCTATTAACATGAGCTTAGGTTTCTTTACCAGACTTTCCACCCCCACCCCAAGCTTGCTAAACATGCTATCACATTTTTTTAAACTCACCTCAACAAAAAGGCCTTGAGAAAACACTTCAAAGACAAATAAGATTCTGCATTATTTCTCTTTTTTAAAAAAATTCATTAGGGGCTGATAAAGGTGTATTGGGACTACATGTTGCCACGTAAATTATCATCTTGCATATATGCCAGTGTCATTATAAAGCTTGTGTTCTAAACAGAAGCTTGATGAAACTGAGTGTTCGGCTGCCTCGTGGCCACGAGAAACAAAGTAGTACAGAAATGAGATATTTGACTGCAATCCACACAGTTAAGGTGTGGTGATAAAGACAGAAGCATCTAATAGATTTTTACTTTCAAGCATTATATTAATTGTTTAAATATATGGAAACCTTATATATGGTAGCCACAATTCAGCACAAAATTCTGCTTACAAACTAAGCTTAGCCAGGCCTAAGTCTTCATTGGATTGTACAACGAAAGCATAGCTTGTAATAATAATTAATATTTGTAATAATAATTTATTATTTATACCCCGCCCATCTGTGTGATCAGCTACAGAAACTTCTATTCTTTTAACTACTTCATGTTGCAGTTTTGGGTTAGGTAAACTGTGCTGGTAACTTACTCTCAACAATGTTGCTGAATGTCAGTTTTGCATGTTTTTGGCTTTAGATTTCTTATAAGTTTATAGTTTAACTCTGTACTGTACTTTGTATCTTTTTTCACACTGAATGGTTTTTAAAATCCTTTTAATTTAAAAAAAGTGTGCAGCACATTACAACACATCTGTATGAACATTAAAAAAATAGTAATTCAGATGATTTCTTCCAAAGATGCTGCATAATTCTACAAGGGCAGCATTAAGATGATACTTCATGCAACAATACTATTACTTGTAAACAATGGCAAGGTGGGCTTTCTGCGTGTTAGTATTGAATAAAATGGTGGCTAGCAGTAGTGTCAGAATTACAACACAGTCTTTTCCATTCTAAGAATGGAATGTATGAAGTTACCCTTTCATCTCCCAAGATGAATAATTCATCTTCAAAACTGAGCATCTATACAAATCACCCAAACAGTGAATTAGAGTAGGGATGGTTGAGCAACGCATAACTGTGATTAGTTGAGCTCCTCCTCCTCTTCCGATGGGTTAAAGGGCAAAAAGTGATCCATAAATTTTAGGAGGGGGAATCATTGCTACTCTTCTTACTGTTACAGCACAAAGACATTCAAAAACAGGTACAAAACCAATGGCACATTATTTCACAAACCTACAAATTGACACTGAGCAATGAGTTTATTCTCATGCTTGCCAGACCCACAACTGCAGCGCAGATCAATGTTTGACACCACCAAGTGTTTTACAGCCAGACTCAGGGCTCAGCAGCTAATTAAGGCAATGAACAATGTTAATATTGAACAGTTGCTAGGCTGTAATGTTAAGCTATAGTGCACTATAGCAACTCACACTGGAAGGACACCCATCTGTATTCACTCCCTTGCCAACTGCACTGGGTACAACACCTTTCTGTGAAATGAAAATACTTCACACTCCCCTGAAATTAGCTACCCTCCTATATGCAAGCACTTGGCTTCAGCTGAAAGACAGCAATGTGTGTCACTTTGCAGTTCCACGTAGTTTGCTCAGTTTATTTATTTTCTGAAGCATATGTTGGAGGCAAAATTCAGGCAATTTAATTATCACCTAGACAATCTACAGCACACTCCAAAACACCATGCAAAACACTAAATGGCTGCTCTCCCAAAAATATTGTCTCTAGCATGGAGTCAGTAAAGCATGGGACTTGGAGGCAAAAGGTGAACACAGCCATTCTAAAGAATACCTGTAATATCCCCAAAGTCAAAGAGTTGTCACTAATATTGGATGCTATAGTAGAACTATACTAGAACCAGACATGGTTTTGTAAAATGCAACTGCAAGTCTAAGTGCTGAAACCCAGTGTTAAAATGGTGTTTTGTCGTGCTATAATAAATTCATGTAAAAATATACAATTCTGCATGTTTTAAGAATATGGGCAATGTTGTTTGTGGTTCATACAGGTGTCACAAGTCATGTATTCATGCTTGGTTCAGTTACAGTCACAAATACATTGTCCTGTTATTCATTATAAAAACAGTATTTAATCACACATTCTGCAGTGTGTGTTTTTTTGTTTGTTTGTTTTTCTGGCATTTTCTGACCATTGCCTAATCCCACCCAGAGAATTTGAGGAAACAACGTTCAGTGCCTGTGGAAAGCCTGCACATCTTTTTCATGTAACCCTGCATTCTTAAGACATGGATGAGGAAGCAGTGGCTCTCCAGATATGGCGGGTCACTACTTACATATCCCTGCCCTAAGCTTTACTTGGAAAACTATAGAATTCTTGGGACTCTGCCTAGGTTAGATCAAGCTACACCCATTTTCATTTGGCCTCATCTGGTAATTTACCAAACACCATTTACTAATAAATAGAATTCCTAGGTAATCTAGAATATCTGTTTTTTTTGTTCTTTGCTGCTAACATTTACACACACACACACACACACACACAATTTATCTGGCTCTGTGTGCAAGTTTGGAAAATATCTGTTGTTTGGAAAATATCGGTTTCTCTATGGAAGGAACACCGCATTAGGAAATGCTCAAATTATTATGACTGTTATTGTTCTCCACTGGCAAAATGCCTAAAGATGGAAAAGGTACTGTAAATATCCTCAAATGCCTTGTAAAACAAGACTTTTCAATTTTAAAAAATACCACACACACCCCTGAACTGAATTCTCTACCTAGCACAAGCAAATCTTCTCACATGTTGTATAGTATGATGAAGCAAACATAGGCACGTAATATATGAGATCCTTTCCTGATTGAGAAACACTCAGTGTGGTGTAAGTAGACTGGGCTAGGGACTAGGAAACCAGGGTTCAACTCCCCACTCACTGGGTGACCTTTGACCAGTCGCTGTCTCTTAACTTGACCTACCTCACAGAGTTTGTGAAAATAAAATAGGCAGGGGGGAAACCACCTAGAGGTCCATGGAGAAATGGTGGAATAATGTAATAATAAATGAATAATATTAATTCCTGCATTTTTAATGAAGGGTTCCAATTAGCTTCAGAGGGTGTTTTGTCTTTCCTTTAAAAAAATGCTAAGATGGAATAAATAGCAACTTAAATGCTTCATAGCCAAATACTTCACTGCCAAATACAAGATTCTTATTGGTCTGCATATATATTGCCATCAAGTGTATTCTAACTTTCTTTTTTAGTTATGCCAAGAAAAACAAGCACAACTCAAGGTCAGGGAGAAACCGTTGTTCTTCAGCCTTATCTGAATTCCATTTCAGAACAACAAAACACAAACCATTTTAAACAGGAAATTCTTCCAAGAGTAATTAATTCGTCTTACAAGTGAATGTGAAATGTTGTGGTGTGTTGTTGTTTTTTTTAAAACACCTGGCCTAAAATAACACTGAAAACACACTGCTCACATAGCTATTTTATTTAATTTAGTGGCTAAGTAGTCAGCAGCATATGTGCTCATGTTGCACTCATTTCTCAAGTGTAGATTCTGATGTAGCCAAACAGGAGGGAGGTATCGGCAGGCTCAGAGAAAAGCACCATAGACAGAAGCACCAAAGATAAAATAAACAAACTTTATGGGGATCCTAACAAAGGAGAGAGAGAGGGGGGGGAGCCCCAATAGAGCTCCATAACGAATGAACAAGTTCAGTGGACACAGAATGCAAAGACCCTTTAGAGAAAAATATGGGAAACTGCAGGGAGGGAGGGTATGGAATGGAGTATCCTGGAAGAGAACAAGGCATTTAGCTCAGTTGGTTAGAGCATGGTGCTAATAATGCCAAGGACCAGTTGCATATTCCTGCATTGCCGGGAATTGGACTAGATGATTATCAGGGTCCCTTCCTATCTACCATTCTCTGTTTCTAAGGCGGGCTGTAATCCGGAAAACGAACACTCCACATGGCGACAGTTTGTTGCAGGTCCTGCTTATATATATGCTTGTGCACAATGAAATTCATGGGACGTATTATTCATCTTCCACACAGGAATGGTGATTAGAAAGCATCACAATTTAAGTCACATTTTGCAAAATAAGAAAGTGGGGTATATTGGCATGGTTGAAAGAGGCCACCACAATTGGGTAGTTGCCTCACACAGTTTGCCCATAAAGCTGCCTCCATACTGTGTTTCAAGGAGCCACCCATACAGCTTCTTGCACCCATGAATCTGGTCAGAGAATGGCGTATGTGTTGCCTGGTGAATGACTGAAGAAACTCTTCCAAAAACAAACAGAACCCCATTTGTTTGGTGTTCAGAGGTCCATATCGTTAAAGCTATGGCTTTCCCAGTAGTGATGTATGGAAGTGAGAGCTGGACCATAAAGAAGGCTGATCGCCGAAGAATTGTTGCTTTTGAATTATGGTGTTGGAGGAGACTCTTGAGAGTCCCATGGACTGCAAGAAAATCAAACCTATCCATTCTTAAGGAAATCAGCCCTGAGTGCTCACAGAAATTCTGCTTTTTATGTCCTGTGGATCCGTAATTTATTTCATCCTGTTGCAAACACGAATCTACAATTCCACACGGGGCTTCTGCATTCACAGTGAGTACAGACAGACATATGCACAAGCAACCACTACTGAAGTGGGAAGATGACGTCACTATCATATAGCTGCTACTGATTTGGCAGCCCCTCTAAAAACTCTCATGGACATAGAGACAAAACAGCTATTTCCATTATCCTTTTCACAGCATCTCAGGAATGTGTTTTCTGAAGATATCTTAAATGCTTCTGTGATCATTAACTTTAAGAAGAATGTTTGATTTGGGGGGGAGGGATGCAATGTGACAGAATACTATTTATTCTGTTGGTTTGTTTAAGCCAAACATGCCCAATGGCATTATCTGATATCTATACCAACACCCATAAGTACAAAATACACAAAAATATTTGTCCAAATGACTATACAACTACATCAAGTTTATTTTGCAAATGGTTTGTTCACAGAAGCCTCTCATAACATATGTACATCTTATCTGTAACTTCATCCCAGCCCACAATTGCCTCTGGATACACCAAGGAATTAATAACATTTGCCTAAGTATTTTTCTGCACTTTCCTTGCAGAAAACGAACGTATGAATATTAATGTTCATTACTAAAGACAATTTATCTGCTGGATGCGGAAAAGTCTTGCTACAGAGCCCCCTGCATTCCTCCAAATATTCCAGTTATAGCTAATTTCCTGGAGGTTTTTCATTAAAAACTTGCTGTTGCTTTGGTCAACGACAAGTCATTTTATTCAGAAAATAGTTAAGCCACTAACAGAATCATAAACAATAACGACACATTAGCATACACCTCTGTTTTTTCAGGTTGCTGCTAGTCTGTCTTTAACTTAATGTGTCACATTATACTATTTACATCAAGGTGGTTAGAAATTGGTTGAAAAAGAAATGGTGATTGTAAATGACTGAGCACATCACCACTCCTATTTGTTATGAATTTGTATAGATGGTTCATGGTCGGATTCTTAAGACATATAGATTTTCAAAGAGGCATGTGATATGATACAAGTGCAACTTTACACATGCACAAGCAAAATGACAATAGCCATGACAAAATGGAATGACTAATAGTGTAACAGAGACTGGGCAGTTAAATCTCTAATCATCTTAAATATAGGCTAAAACTAAAAGTCAAATTTAAGCTAAACTCTGGAATCAAGCAGATTTACTAAGCTTGTAAGTAGTCTCAGGACTGTGGCTTTCATAAGTAAACATAATTAGTTACAATTATCCCAAGGCCAACTCGACCAGCATTTAAATTAGATGAAAGATGGCTTTGGTTCACATAATTTGGTTCTGAATCAGGATAATAAAATATACCGTACTTATTGAGTACGTTGAGGAAAAGGGTAACCAATTTCCTTGAGGATAGTTCTGAACCAGAGCAAATTTTAAATAAGTTACTAGGTTTGAAATTCAAATGTTTATGAACATTTCTTGACAGAAGCGGATTTAGGGGAGTGCGACTGGTTTGGTCACAATGGGCATGAAATCTCAGGGGTGCCACAACTATGATAGAGAATGGAAGGTGAGAGGTTGGGGGGGTGAATTTTGGCATCACATGCTGAAATTTGAGACCCTCAAGGACTGCAACTGCTCTTGGCTTCCTGTCCTATCCTGGTTGTCATCACAACAGGAAGGGGCACACTCCTCCGACCCCCCCCCACCCTGATGCGTAAACACACCAGTATATATATATATATACCATAATTACTCAAAACAGGCTTATTTCAAACCTGCCATAATTTACAGAGTTCAAGAAATGTAATCCTGGTTCAAAAAATGTTAATCAGAACCCTCCATTATTATTATATCACTCCTAAATGAGAACTTGAAAAATCTGAGAATTCATACAGGCAACATCAGCCGGTATCCTAATCTGTATACAAAATAAACATTTTATTCTCTGCTACCACTCATGATTGTTTTAATGGCAAAGTTCTAACTAAGAATTTAAAGTGAAGTTAAGAGATTATGTTCTCTTAACTTTGAAACTGGCAGATAATGATGATGGTGATGGTGATTATACCAGTAAATAAACATAATATATTTCAACACCCTGTTTCTATGCAGAGCTGGTTTCAATGAATTTAGGGCATGTAGGCAGTTGCTGTCTACCAAGTCAGACAGTGGATACATCTGGCTGAGTACCTCACACTAACTAGTCATAACTCATAAGTTTTGGGCGAAAGTCTTGCCCAGCTATAAACCGGAGATGTTGTGGACTGGCACCTTTCAGATGCAAATCACACGTTTGCGCCACTGAGTTATGGCTCTTCCTCTAATCCCTCCTTCAGCTCTCAAGAGTTACATTCCTTTCAGGCTTTTTGTCAACTAGCTCATAGCATGAAAGCCTTACATGCAAGTTGTACAGGGTTATCTCAGGCCACGCTGCCATGACTGCAAAAACCAAGAACTCACAAAACAGAAGGAGGACATTTCTTCCCAAGGATATTTGAAAAATGCAACATCAGGCTCTTCAAGGGATGTTTTGGATATTATTTGGCACACTAAGATTTAGATGGATAAAACAATTCACATTTTGAGTAGCATGAAGGTGCAGGGACACATTTCTCATGCCAAGTGAGATTGATGGCCTTATGACACTTAGCAACTAACAAACTCCAGGGCCTTACTTCAGAGGAGACAATGAATACAACCCATACCCACACAGTGCTAGAGCATCGTATGTATGAAAACATGTGAAGTTGTCCTCAGGATCATCTTTCTATCTAAACAAGGCCATACAATTCATGAAGATTATATATTACTACAATAACACACCTAAAAATACAGACACACAATAAGCATGGCATCATATGTAAGAGACATAACATAATCAGCAGATTATTTCTTAATATATTGGTCCTATTTTTAATTTCCATACTTCAGCAAGCATATGGTCATGTGATTCAGATATACAGTATCTATGAAGAGTCAGTGGCTCAGGACTGCAATGCCTCAAGGACAGCCTTTCTCCATATGAACTGACCCAGACCCTGCGATCACCATCTGAGACCTTTCTTCATATGCCTCCTCCATGAGAGGTCCAGAGGGTGGCAACACTAGAAAGGGCCTTTTCTGCAGTGGCTTCCTATTTGTGAAATACCGTATTTTTCGCACCATAGGACGCACCTGACCATAGGGCGCACCTAGTTTTTAGAGGAGGAAAACACACAAAAAATTATTCCGAATCAAATGTTGCACTAAACTATTTAAAGCAGCAAAGCGGGCGGCTCCTGTCCTCAGAGGAGGGTAGGAAGGGAAACCATGGCTTATCTAAGGCCAGTTAATAATGCTGAGCCTGACTTATGGCCATCGAGATGAGCCTGGCCATCTCAGTGGAAATCTGGGTAGGCTGAGGTGGACTTTCCAGTGGTCAAAGTGTGGTTGTGTCTTCCTGCCCGGCATCTATTTCCTGCCGTCTTTCCCCCCTGCACCCTGCTTTGAGGGAAGGAAGCGGAGCCATGGATCCTCTGCTCACAACTGCAGTGGATTCCCTCCACTTTGAAGCAGGAAAATGGGAGAGGAGCTGCTTACACGAGTGTAAGCTGCTCCCCTCCCACTTTGCTGCTTCAAAGGGAGCCTGGGAGGAGGGAATCCGCTGCCTTCGCTAGCAGAGGATCCATGTTCCCTTCCTTCCCTCTTCCTTGATTGCTTTGAAGCAGGAAAGTGGGAGAGGAGCTGCTTACACGAGTGTAAGCTGCTCCCCTCCCACTTTGCTGCTTCAAAGGGAGCCTGGGAGGAGGGAATCCGCTGCATGGATCCCCTTCCTTCCCTCCTCCGTGGTTGCTTTGAAGCAGGAAAGTGGGAGAGGAGCTGCTTACACGAGTGTAAGCTGCTCCCCTCCCACTTTGCTGCTTCAAAGGGAGCCGGGGAGGAGGGAATCCGCTGCAGCTTCCCCCACCTCCCGCTAAACCAGCAGAAGCCGCAAGCTCTTTAAAGGGGCAAGCTCCTGGCTTTTCTGGGAGGTGGGAGAAGGGACTGATGCAGCCAGTCAGTCCCTTCTCCCTCCTGGGGAAAAGCCCGCAAGAGTGCACCGAGCTTGTGTGCTGCTCTTGGGGGCTTTTCCCGCCTGCCTCCCCCTGCATTCGCTCCAAAGGACGCACACACATTTTCCCTTGCTTTTTAGGAGGGGAAAAGTGCGTCCTATGGTGCAAAAAATACGGTACTCTTCCTAGGGAAGTTTGGCTGGTGTCATCATTATACACCTTTAGGCACCAGGCAAAAATGTTCCTCTTTAACCAGGCCTTTGGCTGATTAACATCCTATATCCTTTTAATTGTATTTTGAGTGGGGGGGT